TTTTTCAAGGGTTCTTAAGGAATGCAAAATGGAACTCTATGAACCATTAACTAATATTTTTAATTTATGTCTTCAAACAGGTGTAGTGTCTGATATGTGGAAGATGGCTAATGTAATTCCTATTTTTAAAACGGGGGACAAGTCGTTACCGTCAAATTACCGCCCAATAAGCCTGACCTCAATTGTAGGCAAATTACTAGTCAATTATAGCTGAGATTATAAGAAGCCATCTCGATAAGCATAGCTTGATTAATGATACTCAGCATGGATTCACAAGAGGCCGGTCTTGTCTAACTAATTTATTAACTTTCTTCAGTAAAGCTTTTGAGGCTGTTGACCACGATAAAGAATTTGATATTTACTTAGATTTTAGTAAGGCTTTTGATAGAGTTCTGCACCATAGACTGTTAAAGAAAGTGGCAGCTCATGGCATTGGGGGAAAAGTGCTCTCGTGGATCGAGTCATGGCTCACTGACAGGAAGCAGAGAGTGTCCATAAATGGGGTTAAATCCGAGTGGGGATCTGTAACAAGTGGCGTTCCACAGGGATCAGTCTTGGGCCCGTTGTTTATAATATACAGTGGACCCCCGGTTAACGATATTTTTTCACTCCAGAAGTATGTTCAGGTGCCAGTACTGACCGAATTTGTTCCCATAAGAAATATTGTGAAGTAGATTAGTCCATTTCAGACCCCCAAACATACACGTACAAACGCACTTACATAAATACACTTGCATAATTGGTCACATTCGGAGGTAATCGTTATGCGGGGGTCCACTGTATATCAACGATCTTGATGAAGGAATTACTAGTGATATGAGCAAATTCGCCGATGACACAAAGATAGGTAGGATAATTGATTCAAACGTAGATGTTGTGGAACTTCAGGAGGATTTAAACAAACTATTCTTGGTCAGAAAAGTGGCAGATGCAGTTCAATGTAGATAAATGCAAGGTTCTGAAGCTCGGGAGTGCCCATAACCCTAGTACTTATAAGTTAAATGATGTAGAACTTCGCCATACAGATTGTGAAAAGGACTTGGGGGTTATGGTGAGCAGCAACCTTAAACCAAGACAGCAATGCCTAAGCGTACGTAATAAGGCAAATAGATTAATGGGATTTATATCAAGAAGTGTAAGCAACAAAAGTCCAGAGGTCATACTGCAGCTTTATACATCATTAGTAAGGCCTCACCTAGATTATGCAGCTCAGTTCTGGTCTCCGTATTACAGAATGGACATAAATTCGTTAGAAAACATTCAGCGTAGGATGACTAAATTAATACATAGCATTAGAAATCTTCATTGTGAAGAAAGATTGAAGACTCTTAAGTTACATTTACTTGTTAGATGAAGAATGAGGGGAGACCTGATCGAAGTGTATAAGTGGAAGATAGGTATTAATAAAGGGGATACATATTAATAAGGTCTTGATGTCTCTCCAAGAGAGAACCCGCAGTAATGGATTTAAATTAGATAAGTTTAGATTTAGAAAGGACATAGGAAAGTATTGGTTTGGAAATAGGGTAGTTGATGAGTGGAACAGTCTACCTAGTTGGGTTATTGAGGCTGGGACTTTGGGTAGTTTCAAATTTAGGTTGGATAAGTACATGAGTGGGAGGGGTTGGATTTGAGTGGGACTTTCACATCAGAGCTTATTTCTTGGGTGGCATTGAAAATTGGGTTGGACAAATGTTTTGTTAGTGGGATGAATTGTAAAGGACCTGCCTAGTATTGGCCAACAGGCCTCGTGCAGTGTGCCTCCTTTCTTATGTTCTTATGTATTTGGAAGCAAAAACTTCACCTTAACGAAACCAAACTCCCCTGCAATTTCCTCTTGCAAGTCGTGAGGATGAGCAGGAGCATTGTCCATTACCAGGAGGCACTTGAGTGGCAATTTCTTTTTCTGGAGGTATTTTGATCAGTGGGGCCAAACACGCCATAAAACCAGTCGAAGAAAAATACCCTAGTGACCCCATGCCTTACTGTTTGATCTCCACAGCACACACAAATTACCCTTGACGATATTGTTTTTCCTGAATACTGGGAGTTTGAGTGATACACCAATAAAGGCTTCACTTGGCAATCACCACTAGCATTACTACATAACATTTATGTCAGCCTGTCTTTCATAGGCTTATGTCCTGGGAGTGCCTTTTCCTCCTGAGTAATGTAGGTCTTGTTTGGCATTTTTTCCAAAACAGGCCTGTTTTGTCACAATTAACCCTTTGACTGTTTTGGTCGTATATGTACGTCTTATGCGCCACTGTTTCGGACGTATTTATACGCATAAATTCTAGCCGCTTCAAATCAAGCAGGAGAAAGCTAGTAGACCCACATGTGAGAGAATGGATGTGTGTGCTCAGTGTGCACCACATAAAAAAAATCCTGCAGCACGCAGTGCGTAATGAGAAAAAAAACCGACCGTTTTTTTTTTTTTTTTTTTTTTTTTTTTTTTAATGCCGACTTTGAGGTGTATTTTTGTATAGTATTTATTGTTGTATTCTCGTTTTCATGATCTCGCGTGATAAAATGGAAAACATATTACAGAAATAGAGATGATTTTGAATAGTTTCACGATGAAAACTACCTTGAAATTGAGCTCAAAGTAGTGGAAATGTTCGATTTTTACCAATGTACAGGAGTAAGCAAATCACACCACATGTCCAATACACATCATCTGGGGAATCTAATATTCTTTCACTAGTGCACTGATATTATTTATACCATTTTTACAATAATGAAGTAGTCTGCATAACAGTAAATTGTATTTTTTGTATGAATAAAAAATCAAAATAGAAAGCAGGAGTAATATAAGAGGGGCCTAGAGATATGTCGGCATTGTTCATTCTGGACCCTATTTTGAAATTGGCATCTTTTTTAATTTGTGTGAAATTGGCAAATTGCCAATTTCTGACCACTTTATTGGGTAGTTCAAATCGGTAATTGGGCAGTTTCTTGTACTCAACTGATAGAAAAAATGGAGTTCTAAAGAAATAGCTATGAGTTTGATCAACTGGAACAACGGAATTGGCCAAAAACAGGGCTCAAATTCGGCGAAATTGCTGATGCGTATGTCGCCAAGACCGCTAACTTCATGGGAGCATAATTCCATGAGTTTTCAACCAAATTTCGTACTTTTGGTGTCATTACCATTGGGAAAAGATTCTCAGTCATTTCATAATATTTTTTTTTTTTTCCAGAAATTTTGCAACATAGAATGACAGTTTCAGAAAGGGGCTTGCAACTGTCAAAGGTTTAAACACTTGTTCAAACTTTAGGTTTTCAATCTCTATGTATTCCTTAACCCTTAAACTGTCCAAATGTAGATCTACGTTTTTTCAACATCTGAAAGTATGTAAAAAAAGTTATTTTTTTTTTTTATATTTGAAAACGTGTAAAAAACTTTGATCTACTTTTGGAGCACTATGCATGTGAACGTAGATCTGCTTGGACAGTTTAAGGGTTAAAGTCCTTCACATATTTTTCAGCCGCATTTTTTTCTGAACTGGCTACCTCGCCGTGCCTTACCACACTGTGTATGCCACTACAAATCTTAAATCTCTCAAACAAGCCTTTGCTGGCCTTAAATTCATCAGCAGCAGCACTATTTTGAGGCATTTTCTTAATGAGATCATCATGCAACTTCCTTGCCTTTTCACAAATTATAGACTGAGAAACACTGTCACCTGATAATTGTTTTTCATTTATCCATACCAATAAGTCTCTCTACCTCTTCAACTATTTGTGGTCTCCGTTTTGAAAAGATACTTGAACTTTTCGCAACAACAATTTCCTTGATTGCCTGCCTGTTCACCAAGATAGTACTGATGGTTGAATGTGGTTTGTTTTATTGCCTTTCCAACTAAGCCATACACACTCCACTCCCGTATTTTTCAATGATCTCCTTCATTTCCATCGTAATTCTCGCCCTTTTTAACACAGGCTTGGCACTAGAAGCTTTCTTGGGACCCATGGTGGCTTAGCAGTTCCAAGCACTAGAAATAGTGGAATAATCCAAAATATATGGGAGGCACACATGGAAACCAACCGCAACAGCTTGTAAACAATGGCACACTGGCTCTTGGAGTGGCTGGGCCCGCTCAGGCCTCACTCCGGGCACATCAACACGTTCCGGACAAACGTTGTTGGTTAAGTTTTTTGCCGTTGGTTAAGGTATTTTTTCTACGGCAAAAAGCGCCATTAGACAAAATTGCTGTTACTTAATGCCGCCTTTAGTTGAGGGTCAGCTGTATTAGGCAGAGAATTCGTAGTGTGGAAATAGGTGTAGAGTTACTAAAAGTATTATTAAGAGGGCTGAAGAGGTGTTGAGGTGGTTTGGTTATTTAGGGAGGATGGAGCAAAATAGGATGACTTGGATGGTGTATAAATCTGTAGTGGAGGGGAGGAGGAGTAGGGGTCATCCTAGGAAAGAGTGGATGGAGGGAGGGAGGGGGTTAAAGATGTTCTGTGTGCAAGGGGCCTGGACATGTAGCAGGCATGTGTGAGCTTGTTATATTGGATTGAATGGAGACAAGTGGTTTTTGGGACCTGATGAGCTGTTGGAGTGTGGGCAGGGTAATATTGTGTGAAGGTATTAAGGGAAACTAATTAGTCAAACTTGAGTTCTGGAGATGGAAAGTAAAATGCCTGCACTGTAAACGAATGTTTTGGGATATTGACTCTTTGGAGTGACATCTAAACTGTCATGTCTGGGCACCTCTGCTAAGACAGTGATTGTGTGAATGATGGTTAAAGTGTTTCCTTTTTGGGTCACCCTGCCTCTGTGAGAGACAGCCTATGTGTTTAAAAAAATATTTATTTCAGTCCTACAGCTCTATACTGTACAAAAGTATACAGTATACCTGCACAATTGCTACACTATTGTATTGAATCACTCTTGTACTGGTAGTAGGCTATAAACATTTCAGTACCAGCTTTTTATACAGTAGTACTGTATATCTTAAGAACACAGTATAACAAAGTATTCTGTATTTCAGATAATGCTCCATCTGAATATTGGGAAAGCTTAGCAGAGAAAAGACGCATTGCACTAGAAGAAACCTTAACTGAAAACCATAGACTCCATGAAGAAAATGTAAATCTTAAACAAGAGGTATCAGAATTAAAAAAGGAGAATACTCTCCTGGAGGAGATGATTGATGAAGCAAAACATCTTGCACTGTTAGTAGAGGTAATGTGGTTTCTGATACTGTTAGTGTTGTCATAGAGAATTAATTGAATGCTTGGGTGTTGGCAAGAGGTGTGGGATCAAAAGATGAAGAATCTAACAGCAAGTGGGAGTTGACAGTTGTTTTTTCCTGATGACACCGTGCTTTTGAGAGACTGAAGAGAAATTGCAGAGGTTGGTGACCAAGTTTAGAAGGGTATGTAAGGAGAGTAAGGTGTTCCATATAACAAAAAATTTAGTTAATGAATGATTGAATATCAGATTGGAGAGAGGGAATATGGAGGAAGTGAATGTATTCAGATATTTGGTAGTGGATTTGTCAGTTAGACAGCTTTATGAAAGACAAACTGAACCATAGAATTGACAAGGAGGAATAAGGTAAGTGGTGCACTGAGGAGTCTGTGGAGACAAAGAACATTATCCATGTAAGCAAAAGGGGAAATGTATGAGAGTTTAGTGGTACCAACACTGTGGATGTGAGGTATGGGTTATGAATGTTGCAGTGAGGAGACTGAAGGCAGTGGAGATGTCATATTTAACCCATTGGGGGTCGACAGGTCCTCTCAGAGACTTATTCTCAGGGTCGGCCAAATTTCAAAAAAAAAAAAAAAAAAAATTCTTGTGAAAAGATGGAGAATCTTTTCCCGATCATAATGACACCAAAAGTATGAAATTTGATGGAAAACTTACGGAATTATGCTCTTGCGAAGTTAGATGTCTCGACAATGTTTACGCATTGGCGATTTTGCCCACTTTGAGCCCTATTTTCGGCCAATTCCAGTGTACTAGTCAACAAAAATCATGACTATTTCGCTAAAACTCCATTTTTTCTATCGAATGAGTACAAGAAACCACCCATTTACTGATTTCAACTATCCAATAAAGTGGTCAGAATTTAGCAATTTTGCCAATTTCACACATTTCAAAAGATGCCAATTTCCAAATAGGGTCCAGAATAAACAAGGACATTCCTGGCACTAAAATAACATTTCCTCTGTTCATTAGTCACGTCCCCATGCCCCTCTTACATTCTTTTGCTTTCCATTTTGAATTTTTATTCTCACAAAAAATAGAAGATTTACTGTTATGCAGACTACTGCATTAGTGTAAAAATGGTATAAATAATATCAGCACACTTGTGAAAGAATATTACTCGCCAGTTGACGTGTATTGGACGCTTAGCTTGATTTGTTTACTTTTGAACTTTGGTAAAAATCGAACATTTCTGCTACTTTGAGCTCAATTTCAAGGTACTTTTCATTGTAAAACCAGTCAAAATCATTTCAATTTCTGTAATATGTCTTTGATTCTATAAAATGAGACCTGGAAAACTAGAATACAACAATAAATACCATACGAAAATACAGTGCAAAGTCGCTGTTTTAATCCAAAAACACTGAGTTTTTTTTTCTCGTGCACTGTGTGCTGCATGATTTTTATACTGCGCACAATGACCACATAGACCCATTCTTTCATTTGTAGGCCTACCAGCTTTCTCACTAGATTCGAAGGCGCTAGAATTTATGAGTACTAGTACGTCAAGGACCCTGGCACGTAAGCCGTACTAGTACGGCCGAAACCCTGAAAGGGTTAAACAGTGTATGTAATTTATAAATAAGAAATATTTACATTTAAATTTATAAATAAGTAAGTTTATTCAGGTATACACAAATACAGTTACAGGTCCGCCATCACAAATCCAGCAATCAGTTATTCGGCACTAATTTTGGCTAGCATAATTTCAAATTTCCAGGGTCGCTACACCAACCTGCTGGTACTGTTTGGTGGCGCTACTTGCTGCATAAGTCATTCCAATTTCTTTTTCTCCATTTATTGTTTTAACCTGCTTACTTTTAGCCCTAGCCATGGTTCCAATGAATAAAAGAAATGCTTCTCATTATGTAAAGCACCTACACAGTACATTATCCATTAAAGATAAGGTGGCTTTGAAGCCACTGTCGGTTGCCATGAGCTCAGTCTCGTGAAGCAGGAGAATATGCTTTATTATTATGCTAATATCAACACTACAGCTTATTTGTCTATCACAGTTGATCTAATATGGCATAAGAAACAATATAAATAACATAAAACATGTTAAATACTCCAGAATTAATATTTGGCATAACACCGAGCAATTCGACGGAGGTATGAAGAGGATATGGTATACAAATACCATTCTCCTATCCCTGTCTTGGCGGCTTTAATATATATTAAAGAAAATGGAGTGCAGCACAGGTTTAACTGTGATATACACTCGTACTGCACCATAAACATGAAACAAATGTTAATTCTACACTTTATCGCTGGCTGGCACTATAGCCTGTGTCGATACCTGCTGATTTAGTATTGTAAATAGCATATTATTATTATAATCAAAAAGAAGCGCTAAGCCACAAGGGCTATACAGCGTGTAAATAGCATAGAATCACTGAATCACTGCAGAAGGCACATTCTCCCCTCTCTCTTCCTCCTCTACCTTGGTACTTTGCTGCTAGTTTTTTCTTGAATTCTTTTGTTTCCTTCTTTATCACAGGGCTGGCACTAGAAACTTTCTTGGGGCCCATGGTGGCTTATTTAGCAGTTACAAGCACTAAAGACACTGGAATAATACAAAATATATTGCAGGTACACTTGGAATTGACCGAAACAGCTTGTAAACACTGGCTGTACATGGAGTCTTGGAATGGCTGGGCCCGCTCAGGCCTCACTCCGGTCCCATGGACAAGTTCGGGACAAACATCATTAGAAGAGTTTTTCAACATTAGTTGAGCCTTTTTTTTTTTTTTTTTTTTTTTTTTTTTTTACACCAAAGAGCGCCATTAGACAAATTTGCCGTTACTTAATGCCGCCGTTAGTTGAGGGTCCACTGTATGTCCCTGAAAAGTACTCGAGGACCTAGTCCCAAATCTGCACACTGCCATAACATACTGGAGTGAGAGATGTGGGAGATAGTGCACAGATAAACCCGGTGAAAAGTAGGGAGTGCAGTAGGCACAGATCATTCAATATCTTACCAGAAGGTATCAGAGAAGCTAATGGAACAAGTGTAGATGTCTTCAAGAAAAAGCTTTTCTGGACAAGTATCATCACCAGGTGCTAGACCAACCAGGTTTTGATGGATATGTGAAGCAGCAGACCTCCAGGAGCAACAACTTGGTTTATCAGTCTAGCACCAGACAAGCCTGTCCCATTGCTGGGCTTCAAGAGTAGAAAGATTCTCGGAACTCATCATAGAAAAGTTATTATAAAAAATTATTTCAAAATGAAAATATTCAGTTAGATATCCATAGTTTCATAGCCAAGTAGCATTTCTCATTGAAAATCTGGTAGCACCTCTTATTAGCCCCTGAATACCTGCTTGGCATTGTTCCTTCAATGTACCTTCTAGGGAGCCACAGATTGGTTCATATTAAATGGTACATGGGTTCTATATCCAGGGTGTCAAATGTTTTTTGGGGGTGCTGGGGGTGTTCCTTACATGTAACTTAAAATTGTTTAAAGCCATATTTTTCATGTGTACCTGTGTTTGTTTTACCAGATGTTTGTATATGGATGGTTTTTACTGAGGCGAGTTTAGTTTGCAAGAGTTGTGTGTAGATAAAGTAGCATCCTGGTTTTTGTATTGAGCTCTGAAATTTCATTTGGTACCAAATCTCACTAAATTCTTAAATTTTCTTCATTTGCAAATTATTTACATTGCAAATCTATACAACCATCAAATTAAATATTAGTTTCTCTAAAGTGCATTTAATTATTTTTGCATATAGGTTAGGATTTACTGCATTATAAGTTTTGCATTGATGCTCTCTTTGTGGCTAGCTCATCTGATATTCTGTTTTTTCTCACATCAAAGAGCTACCTCTGCATTGGCATTTCTTCATAAATTTCATTAAACTGAAAAAATTACTCTTCATTCCCTTCTAAATTTTCAACAGTATTATCTCATGAATATCATTTATCACATACCCTGTTATGTGTAACATTTTCTAAAGAACATTTTTCACTCATCTGCTTTGACCTTCAAAATGTTTTACTGGTATCCTATGTTGTTTTACATTAATATGTACCAATAGATAACATCCTTTGAACTCAAAGCCTTTGCAAATCAGAATACTCTTAAGTAATATATTATTATTATAATCAAAAAGAAGCGCTAAGCCACAAGGGCTATACAGCTTAAGTAATATAGCTTTAGAATTTGGACAAAATTAAAAATACTGTAGCTGTTTAATTCTTTGTGCACAAACTGAATTGTATATATTTTTTAGTCTCTTACAGGTGAAGTAGACTCGAAAGAACATCAAGCAAACAAATAAGATGTGGAGGGCTCCTGAAGTGATGTGTAAATATTGGTAATGAAGATGTTGCATGATAGTTACTACTGCTCCTGCTTGTCACTATTTTAAGAAATTTTCAGTCCATATAATCTTGACTTGTGTTGTATATAAGTTAATGTGAATTAAATTTCCAAGTGTATTTATGTATTTTTCATTAGGTTCTTAGTCAGGTACTGATGACATGATTTGAATTTTATCTTTTGTATTATGTAATTTTGCTTCCTAACCAAATATTTTAACTTGAATGATATTTTTGTTTAGTAAATAAGACGAACCGTGGGTGAAATAAATTTTAAATACTGATTCTTCTGTTTTTATTAGTGTTGCACCTTTTTAAAGGGGGTTCCTTGCAGCAGTAAAGAGGCTATCAGTCTGAGGAATTGGACCTCTTGGTCTTCTTCCCCCGACCCAACCTAATTACCCCACCACCCTCCCCTTATTTCCCATCCCATTTGTAGCCTCGGGTCTTCCCCTCTGGCATTACAGCTTCTAGGTAGGTGGCATTGTGCCAGGGTTCGTCCCACTCTGTGAGGTCCCTCGGGGTGGTGTGGTTTGCCGTAGAGTCTGAATTATCTGAAGGTGCCCTGCTCCTTTCCCGGATTTCCAGGAAGAGGGCAGGGTGCCCTTCGGGTAATGGGTGTATCTCTGGAAGCTGCCTGTCAGTTCTGGCAGCCGAAGGGGGTATGCTTTGTGGCAGGTTTCGGACTTTTTTTTTTTTTTTTTTTTACCCGCCGAGGTAGCTCGGTAGATGTGAAGCTGCTAACAAGAAGCGCTGGCTTACTGGCGTGAAGGGTAGGGTATGGAACTAGTTCCACGCTGCATCTTTACTGGTGGGCTCAAGGCCCTCTCGGATGAGGGGGGGGAGCTTTCGGCCCCTCCATGCCTCCTAGCAACTGTCCCTCCACTGCCCTTTTTTTTTAAAATAACGAGAAAGGAGATATCACAGACAATGCACCTTTTATTATGGAGTCTTCATCCAGTGAAACCCTTCCTCCTCCCAGGCCCCATTCTGATACTACACCCTGTTCTGACCCGGCTTAGTCCATTCTCTCAACTCCTCATACCCCTGTACCTTCTGCCAGTGACGCTTCGTCACCTGCTTCAGGTGCTGCAGCGTCGCCCCTTTCTGTTCATGTCGCTACTTCTAGCACGCTTTTCACAGTGTGTCTGGCTTTCCTGAATACTGTGCGAGAGTTTTCAGATCGCCCACCTCCCTTGGGTGAGACTGCCCGCAGTACTACTACTAAACATCCAAGACAACGTACTGATGGCAGTTCGTTGATAATCGCTCAGAAACGACCTACACGACACTCACTACCTTTGTGTACTGGGCTAACGAGTGCACAGTGGACAAAATTCTTTTCTTTACAAACGTCTCAAACGGATTATCTGTCTGATCATGAAATTGGTAAAACTCTTTTTAAGGCACATTGGCCAAAATATATCTTCCCACGCTCTTTGAAGCAGTGTGCGTTCTATCTGTACAGAATTCAGAGTAAGCTCGTGCTCTCCCCCACATTACAGTGGACCCCCGGTTAACGATATTTTTTCACTCCAGAAGTATGTTCAGGTGCCAGTACTGACCGAATTTGTTCCCATAAGAAATATTGTGAAGTAGATTAGTCCATTTCAGACCCCCAAACATACACGTACAAATGCACTTACATAATTGGTCGCATTTGGAGGTAATCGTTATGCGGGGGTCCACTGTACTTCCATAGATAACATATTAGTCACCGTTCGTAAGCACACTACTCTCAATTCTTGCAGTGGTACTGTGGTCTTACTGCACCATTGTAGAGTGATTTTTTGTCTTGAGAAGATATTTTAGAACAATCAGTCTTTCAAAACCTCCCTATTCTAAAGGTAGACACATACATCCTGCCTGCTTGTGGACGAAGGCGCTTTCCTAGTAACATCGCTTGTTGAACCTTTGACTGCCGTGAACTTCCGTCCTCTGTATTACGGGCCATCGTTTAGAGGTCTGTCAAGTAGTTCCCACCCCCCAACAGTGTTGTAATTGCTGGCATTTTGGGCACCCTGCTAAACACCGCAGATCTGTGGCGGAATGCCCAATCTTCGGTGCAGCAGATCGTTCCAATACATTTTGTAGTCTTCCCCCCCTCTTGTCTCAGTTGCAAGAAACTCATCCTTCCTTCTCCCGCCGGTGCCAGGTCTATTGTAATGAACGAGAGATCCATAACCTTAAAGAGTGCAAGGGCTTTACTTACACTATGGCAGTCTCTCAGCTCCGCCTTGAAGGAAAACTTTGTGTGCCATATGCTAGAGTAGCCGACAATCCTCCCACCTCCCAATCCTTCTGCGTCCGTGTCTTCCGGAGTCACCCCAGTTTCTAACGCCTATGCAGTTTTATCCTCTGACACTCCTACCTCCACACCACCACCTACTTCTGCTGCTTCATCTTGCTCGCTTATTTCTCAGTCTACTAGACCTCACAGATCTACACTTCCTTCACGTCCATCTGTCCAGAATCGATCTTCTACCTCGAAGACTAGTTCTCACCCCCTTTCCAGCTCTCAAAGGTGGAGGTTTCCCTTCCCCTAGAATAGTTACCTCTCTTCCCTTCCCCTCCAATCTTCCATAGTTGACCTCCTTCCTCTCCTGTTACACTGCAGGACTCTTCTCCACCACCCAGCACCTCTCTCCAGGCTCATACTCCCCACCCTCCTCAGACCTCTTTGGTTCCCTCCATAGTTACTCCGACCTTTACTTGCATTGCCTCTCCTGTCTCTGACATCATGGCATTGTCAGCTTCCTTATCAACTGAGACATTAGATGCTATCTCCAGCTATATAGCGGAGACAACACCCCAATGGACACAAGTGCGCCTCCTATTTCACGACCCATGCAACAATCTATTCCTCCGCAATATTCTAATTATTCCTTACACACGTCAACTTTACTGATCCTCAAAGCCCATAGGTTTTATAGTTTCTTTTTGTCTTTTTATTTCTGTACAGTCTTTTTTACAATGGAATATTCGTGGCCTTAGGGGCAATCACGGAGAAATCCAATTGTTGCTCTCTCAGTTGTCCCCAGTATGTGTTGGGTTGCAAGAGCCCAAAATTCCTTCTGCTGTCATTCGCTCTGTTTCGGGCTACTTGCTGATACATTCTTCCAGTCCTTTGCCTGACGAATCATTTAATGAAAGCACGCTTCTTGTACACGTTGATATACTGTGTCAACAAGTTTTCATTCGTTCCCCGCTGCATTATGCTGCAGCTCGTATTTATTTACACTGATGGTTTACAGTTTGATCTATCTCCCTCCCTTGCATTCTGTATCTCTGATATCACATTTTTAATTTCATCTCTACCACTGCCCAAATTGTTGTTGGGTGATTTTAACGCTCGCCATCACCTGTGGGGAGGGTCTCGCTGCAACTCTCATGGTGATGAGTTGGAGATTCTTCTCACATCTCATCCTCTTCATGTTTTAAACATGGTTGCTCCTACCCATTTTGACTCATACTCAGTCTCTCTCCTGCATTGATCTTTCTGTCTAACTCGCTCATTGCACTTGATTTCACGTGGTCTTTTCTTCCAGATTTACATGATAGTGATCACTTTCCCATCCTTCTTACTTCTACTACGTATGCCCATCTGTTTCGAAGCCCTTGTTGGCAATTTGCTTGAGCAGATTGGGACTTATACTCCCATCTTACTGCCTGTTGTGAGGACTTCCTTTCATCCTCTATTGATGAGCTGGCACACCACTTTTAGACCTTGGTCCTAACTGCAGCAACACATTCTATCCCCCAAACCTCAGGTAGGTGGTCTCCTACATGCACCCATGCAGTGCGTTTAAAACATGCTCTGTGGGGCCGTTATTGATATAATCGTACTGCAGAGCATCTGTTGGATTTCAAGCGGGCAAGGGCAGTTGCTCGCTATATCATCCGCGACGCTAAGCGCACTTGTTGGCGAGACTACGTGTCTACCATTAACTCGTCTTCCCCTATGTGCGCAATTTGGAAAAAGGTGCGGAAATTGTGTAGTAAGTACACTCTCGACCCAGCTCCTGTTTTGCGGGTTGCTGGAGTTGGTGTTGCGGAACCCTTAGAAGTTGCCACGGCAATTGGGAACCATCTTCTCCGTATCTCCCAAGGGCTTCACCTCTGTCCCTCATTTCTTGCATCTATACCTACCAAAGAGCAATTGCCCTTAGATTTCTCCTCCGATGGGTTGGAGCCGTATAATATACCTTTTGCTCTTCAAGAACGGGAGTCCGTGCTTTCCATTTGCCAGCCATTGGCACTAGGACCTGATGATGTCCACAACAGTATGCTTCAACATCTCCATTCTATGGCCCTTCCCGTTCTTTTATGTCTTTTCAATCTAATTTGGACGCAAGTGGTTCTCCATCAGCACTGGAAATTGGCTGTTGTACTACCGTTTCACAAACCAGGTGCCTTTGGACTTGACACCTCTCACTATCGTCCCATTGCCCTGACCAGTGTGGTCTGTAAGGTGATGGAACGATTGGTGAATAGACATCTGATGTGGTTCTTAGAAATACACACTAGCCTTTCCCCTCGCCAACATGGCTTTTTCAAAGGCTGCTCTACTGTAGACCCTTTGCTCCACTTAGATACATATATTTGCAGTGCTTTTGCTAACAACCACTCTGTCCTAGCGGTCTTTTTTTTATCTAAAGAAGGCATACGAGACCACTTGGAGGTATAACATCTTAGCCTAAGCCCACTCCTTAGGCCTCCGCAGTAATCTACCAAACTTCATCACTGCTTTCTTGTCCGATAGACATTTTCAGGTCCGTATTGGACTTTGTACAAGTCAAGGGAGTCCCACAAGGTTGTGTTCTCAGCACTACTCTCTTTCTCTTAGCTATAAATGACCTCCCTTCTGATCTTCCTTTGCATATTTGGTCATCACTCTGTTGATGACTTTGCTATATCTTACTCGGGCACTGACTGTCAATTAGTAGCAGCCTCTCTTCGGGTTGTGATACAGTCTCCCATTGGACCGCTTCTCATGTCTTTAAATTTTCTAGTACGAAAACCCAATTCATTACCTTCACTAGACGTCCTCTTATTCCAGATACTCCCTTGTACTTAAATGGTTCATGTATTTCGACATGTGATAGTCAAGTTTCTGGGTCTGCTGTATAGTCCTTGTGGCTTAGCGCTTCTTTTTTATTATAATAATAATCTGGGCCTGCTCTTTGATCGCTGGCTAACGTGGAGACCACGCATTTCTTCTTTAACCCTTAAACGGTCCAAACATATATAAACATTTTATTTTTCCTGCCTTCAAATATGGCACG